CAATAAAAATAGTTATGAATCGTTTATCTGTTTTCTATAATTGCTTGCCTAAATGACCTTACTTTTAAATTGATTTTCTATAGAGATGATCTTTGCAGAGTAATTTATAATATGAATGATTACGATCATGAGCACGAAGTTTGTGAACTGGTCACAGAGTATTTTGAGGAGGAACTCCTCCTCAATTTTAAGGAGCCAAGCCTTCCTCTTCATAAGATACATTCCCATTTAGACTTTATTGTACTTATTATTTTTTTTTTTTTGAACAAATGATATTATCTACTATTTTTTGTTGCAATAATATAGTTCAAATTCGTCTTTTTACGATAAGTGAACCTAAGACCTCTCACTTACAAATGAAGAGAAATATTATTATACCGTAGTACTAAGTTGTAGACTTTATTGTAATTAGAATAGGAGATATTAGTTTCTTTTAATCTCCAAGGATTATACACTATGAGAAAACTCGTACAAAAAATTCTCACATAAAACTAGTTCTAGTAGTATTCTGATTTTGGGAGAATAAAAACTCATCAAAGTTTCGAGTTCGGCTACAATGATTACATCTCACTTAGTAATACAAGTTTTATGGATCATATAACTGTGGAAAGATCCATTTGATCCCTACATGCAAGACCTAACTGCTAATTTTCAAAATGACTCGTGGTTTGTACTCTGAAAGAAAAATTGCAAAGTTTTGTTACTTTCAGCCATTGTGTCCTCACATCATACCTTAAATTTCAAGTTTGTCCATTAGCTATAATTCAACAAACATTAACCAATTAGCATATAAAATAATTAAACTAGTAAACAACTTATTTGGAATCAATACCATTCTTACTCCAGTTCTAGATAGTAAACAACTGCAATAAAAATTCGGATTTTGACTCCTCAATTATGGCTACATAGAAGTGAACATGTCATGCATGAAAAGTTATGAAGCTTTTTAAAAGAAAAAAAAAAGAGAGAGAACCTTACAACAACAGTAAACCCAAAATGATACATAAATCAAGGGCCATGTATCAGACAATATCACAAGAAGGTCCCAAAATGTCTAACAAGATCCCAATACTCACAAATTCACTCGTATGATAATGCATGTACACTCTAATTACTCATATTTGGCAACACAAAATCACCACTTGTTTCAATATCTTCAACATAGGCTTCAAAATCATCAACATCCATGCTGCTGCTTCCGATGAGATGCCTACTGGCATTCGGGACGTTTAATGGTTTCCTTGCCTCTTGTATTATGGACAGAACTTCTTCAACGCTTTGCGACGGATAATTTACATCGTTGCACTGCCAACTTCCTCCTTCCATCATTTCCATAGGTAAGTTCTTTAGAAACCAAGGGTGGCTTTTGATTTCTGGGATATTTATTCTCTGCAGAGAGATGGTAAGCAGAGACCGCGGTGAGAAGGCTGAGCCGAACAGATCAATTTCAAAAAGAAATGTGCAACAAGAACCAGATGCTTGCAATAATGAGGGAAAAACAAAATTCAAGGAAACTCTTCATGCTCGCTAACAGTATACCAATATAGATTACAAGAGTATAAATACAGTCATGGACTACTTTCAGCACCAAATTAAAAACTACGTTACCTCTTCAGGGTTTGCTACAAAGATATGAGATAAGAGATGTCTACATTCAATTGAAACTCGGACATAATCTGGAACTGAGTACTGCACACTAAGAATCCGCTGCCAAACAACACATATTGTGTTAATGACAACTCAAGAACGAATTAGCAAGTTTTGATATATACGATGTTTAACTTCTGTTCCATTTTATCGGCGAAAAACACTTACCCCAATTGTTTTTCTAAAGTTTCTAGGGTCTTCGGGATTTTCAAAGGGATATGCTCCAACTATCATCACATATAAGGTGACTCCACAAGACCAAACATCTGCAATCTGTAATATCTAAGATTAGATCGAAAGATGCTATAACAAGTTATAATGTCGATCACAAGGGCGCAAGAAGTGGACTTACCTTTCCATCATATTGTTTTTTAGATAGGACTTCAGGTGCTATATAAGCCGGTGTTCCTACAGTAGATTTAGGCTGAGAATGCAATAATGACTACAAAACAAAGTGAACGAATTAATCAAAGTCTAATTAACTCAAATCCCTAATGTAGATCAGTATACTAAGGTTTGTGGATTACCTTTGAGTATCCGAAATCACATATTTTTACACGAGGTGCTGTACTGCCGTCTAAGAGTGTGTTTTCAAGCTTAAGGTCTCTATGACAGATTTGCTGCGACAAACAAATTATTTCCTTACTACAACCAACACTGCCAATATCAAAAGAGAAAGAAATAATAGTATACGACACATTAACAGACAAGTGCCGCATTGCATACCATTGAATGACAGTAACTAACTCCTGATATCAACTGCTGGAAGAAAAACCTTGCCTGATACAAATCAATAAGTAAATCGAAATTTTTTGTAAGTTTAGTTATATTATGAACTGTTTATGTAAAAATGTTTCAGACCTAACTTTCCCTAACAGAAACTGAACAAAAATCGAGATGGAATCCATTTCAGGGGACACTCAGATATCCCGTCTTTCAGAATCTACGTTAAATACAGTTCCAATGAAATTTTCTCAGCCTTCAAAACTACTTTACCTCATCCTCACTAAATCTGCCAGCATTGCATATTCTCCCGAAGAGTTCTCCCCCAGCGGCGTACTCCATCACTATGGCTAGATGAGTTGGTGTCAGAAGGACCTGCAAGAAAGAGACCGCACTACTCCCAAGTCAATTATCTCAAATAAGCCATTGTAAAGATTATTTCTGCTTCACAGTAAAAATAAAATGCAGGAAGTAATGCTCATTTTTAGCAGAGGCATTTCTCTTAGTCCCACTGCATCCCTGGTTCAAAGTTCTAACAATCCCCCATCCCCTTGGTGCATTTCAGAGTATAAATACCACGTTTTAATAAATAAAAACATCATATCTGATCATCCATACAACGTTAAGCACATTAAAGACCAAATTTAGCATGTTCAGTGTTCAGCCACCCAACCCCAGCAGACACTTATACAAAATTGAAACAGAACTTGCCCAATTCACTCTCTTAAAATTAAAAATGAATGTAGTTCTTGACCACTGACCTCTTTGAATCGAACGATATTCGGATGCTTGAGTGATCTGTGGTTCAAGATTTCCCTCTGAACATGTTCTTCTATCTGCGTCACCAAAGAAATTAAATATTAAACAAAACAAAATAAAATTCAAAGGATAAGTAAAAAAGAGAACGCAGAAAAAGGGAAGATATAAGAGTTGAAGAGAACCTTGTGTCCTCTCTCAATGAACTTGACAGCATAGAGCTCTCTGGTGAGCTTGTCTCTGACCAGCCTTGCCACCCCAAAATTCCCAGACCCAATATCTTTCACAATCTCATACCTCTCCATACTATTACACCAATGAATTCCTAGACCCTAAATTTGCACTCTTCTTCTTCTTGTAATTTGACAGACTTGACAATCCAGATCATGAGACATCAACTTGGACTAAACTGGAAAGGGATTGGAGTGGGGTCAGGCACTGACAAAGATTTTAGAGGGTTTAGGATCAGGATCATCTCTTGACCCTTAAAATCTGAGGGCTGCTGAGCAGACAATCGTGACTGTTGAAATTTGATCCAACAACTATAAATAAGAGGCTCTTTAAAGTTATAATAATTGTAACTGTTAAATCAAATTTCAACGATCATAATCACCTGCTCAGCAGGCTCAGATTTTAAGGATAAAGAGAGGATCCTGATCCAGGGTTTAGGGGGACAACTGGAAAAATGGGTTGGTGTGAGACTTGTCATTAAAATGTCTTGACAAGCCATGAGATTGAGAGGCCACCACACACTGTTTGACGGTATGCTTTGGAAAAGAGTAATACTAGATACATCATATTTTAGATTGTATTTATAAATCAAGAGATGCATCATAAACAAAAAAACTAGGAAAGATTACCCGCTTTATGTGTGAGAAATATAAATTTTATTTTTATTTTTTTTTAAATATTGTTGTTAATATTTTTAAGGGAGGAGTTATTTGTTTTTAACGAGATTGGCAGGCATTCGGAAAAAAAGGGGTTGGCACTTAAGGAGAGAGAATGAGAGAGAGAGAGAGAGAGATAGTGAGTATAGAAGGTAGTGATAAAGTGACATGGCTGTGAGGTTATAATTATAATTCATTGTTTTTTTTTTTTTTTTTTTTTTTTTTGTTGATAAAGGGAGTTCTACTAATATATAGTTTATATAAGTACGTTAATTAATATTATGTAGTAATTCAATCATTAACAAGACAACAATCACGTCAAAATAAATGAGTTTGCATATGAGTTAGGCAAGCGCAATGTATCCACATGTTACACTCAAATTCGAATTATCTTTATGAAATATTATGGTCTGGTGGTGTTCCTCTTCACTTGGAAGTGAGAGGTCTTAGGTTCGAATTTCATGGATAGCAAATTCAATACCTTAGGTTGCCCATTATGCGACTTAGCCGAACTCCCTCTCTCCTTAGTGTAAAAATATCAATGTACGTACACTAAGAGAAAAAGGAAGAGAGGATGATTTCCCTTATGTAGAAAAGATTGGATAGTGAATTATGAGCTCAGTTTGAAAATAAAACTCTTTTATTTGGTTCTTAATTAAGGACTTTAAGGAGAAGCAAAAGATAAAATTACACTTCGGACTGACTGACTATTGACAAAAACAATTTGCATAGAATGAATGTGTGACGTCCCAACCTAATAAAATATAATATTATGTGGAGAAAGACTTTAATTATGTTATTAAAACAGAAGACTTCAATTGTGTTATTAAAACAAAACGTCACATGATGAAAAACCCATTCTACGTAAGTAGTTATGCTACACGCTAAACTATGGGCGCGAGTTGGATAGAAAATTCCAACTCCAGCTGATTCCAATCGGAAAAATTCCAACTTTTCCAAAAAAAGGAATTTATGTTAACTTGGGAATAAAGTGGAAGATAATTTAGAAATAAATTGGAATTTTTGTTGGTCTGGTTCCAATCTAATCCGTCAGAAATATGTCTACCCCAAACCTTGGGTTGGAAGTATTATTTTCTGGGCACAAACTAACAGTAACCCAAAATGCGACATACATTAAGGGCCCAAATTCACAAGTAAGATTTGTGAATGCAAAAACACCACTTAAAGTTTCAATATCTTCAACACCAGCAACCAAATCGTCAAGGATTCATGCTCCTGCTCCTGCTGCTGCCGCTGCTTCGAGGACGAGGCCTATCAGCAGCATTTAGGACCTCTAACGACTTTTTTGCCTCTTGTATTATTGTTAGAACTTCGTCTATGCTCTGGGCTGGAGTATTTACATCGTAGCACTGCCAGCTTCCTTCTTCCATCATTTCCACAGCCAAGTTCTTTAAGAACCACGGGTGGCTTTTAATTTCCGAAACTGTTATTCGCTGCAAAACGATAAGTAGTGACCAAGATGAGAATGCTAAAGTGAACTTAAAATTTCAACTATAACCAAATCGTTATCTAGTAGTTTCAGCACCGAAGTAAGAGCTACATTACCTTTTCGGGGTTTGCCAGGAATATTTTAGATAAGAGATCTTTACATTCCTTGGAAACTCGGACAGTATCTGGAATTGAGTAGCGTACAGTAAGGATTCGCTGCCATAAGACATAACGTAGTATATTAACTACAACTCAGAAAAGAATTAGCCAGTTGTGATATATGCAATGTTTAATTTCAGTTACATTTCAATGGTGAAAAAGGTCGTAGTGCAACTAACCCCAATAATTTTTTTGATGTTTATAGGGTCTTTAGGATCTTCGAAGGGGTATGCTCCAACTAACATCACATATAAGGCAACTCCAGAAGACCAAACATCTGCAATCTATAATTTCTATAAGATCAGATAAAAAATACACTTAACGTAATTACAAGCTCCAGTGTCAATGAAATGGCACTTGAAATGGACTTACCTTTCCATCATATTGTTTTGTCGAAAGGACCTCAGGTGCAATATAAGCTGGGGTTCCTACAGCAGATTTTGGCCGAGAATGCAATGCTGACTATAAAACATGGTGAAAGAATAAATTACTCGAAGTCTCACTATACCGAATCCCTCTTGTGGATCCGTACTCTAGGGTTTGTGGAATACCTTTGAGTGTCCAAAATCACATATTTTTACTCGGGGTGCTGTGCTGCCATCTAAGAGTGTATTTTCAAGCTTAAGGTCTCTATGACAGATTTGCTGCCAGAAATGAATTATTTCCTTACTACAATCAAACACTACCAAAGAACACGAACACTAGCAAATATCGTACGAGAAAGAAACAGCAGTATAACATATTAACAGAAGAATTCCGATTTAGATACCATTGAATGACAGTAACTAATTCCTGATATCAATTGTTGGTAGAAATACCTCGCCTGATGCAAAACAACAACAAAAAAATTGAATAAGATGTGAATTTTATTTCGATTATAACTGATTGTTTAAGTAAATGCTTCAGGAAAAAAAAAAAAAAAAAGATAATGGACCTCATTTTCCCACTTTTTAGTAAAAGAAAATCTAGATGTTTTGCATTTTCAGGGGACATTCAGAAGATCCCAAGTTCCAAACTACAAATATTTTGCATGAAATTGTCACCCACTCAGTAATTAGTTAATTACTTTACCTCGTCCTCACTAAATTTTCCAGCCTTGCATATTCTCGTATAAAGTTCTCCCCCGGCAGCATACTCCATTACTATGGCTAAATGAGATGGCGTCAGCAGGACCTGCAAGAAAAAGACCCTAAAACTCTTAGGTAGGCCATTGCTGATTCAAAAGATCACCACCATTACTGAAGCTTAAAGAATTAAGAGAATTAGGTAGGCCATTAAAGGACTTTCATGTTACGGAAGCTGTCACGCACGAATCAAAAGCTGATGTGGCACCTTACTATCCATTATCCTCCCTCAAGCTTACGCTCGGTATCTGGAGCATGATACTCTTTCTAAGATAAAGAAATTGAGGAGAATGCAAGCCCTTTGTCCTGTTCTGTGCAAGTTGATCAGAGCAAGAAAATGATAAACTGCAAGATCTCTCTCTGCTCTCTATTGAAATGAACAACCTCTTCGACATATTTATTGTCACATTGAAACACAGGGTTATGGGCTAAGGCAATAGCGGATATATTATCACACCAAGGGATTGGTGGTCTATCATGCAAGTCACATAGCAACTTTCGAATCCAAGCTAAAGCTTTGTACTCTGCTCCTATGGAGGAAGGAGAAATAGTCGGTCCCGAGCAATGGGATAAGTAACTGCAAGGCTTTTCGGGCAGAGTTCATCACAAGGCACAAGGCACGCTCAGTTGCAAAAGGTACTTACAGAAGAAGGTTTGGACTTTGATGAGACTTTCAATCCAGTGGTTAAACTTACCACTGTCTGGTTAGTTTTGGCTTTACCTTCAACTTTCAATTGGATTCCTTTGTGCACGGTTAGTTTTGGCTTTACCTTCATCTATCAACAACCTTCAAATCCTATCAATCGAAGAACACTAAGGTATGTTTGAGTGAGGAACTTCACAAAATCCAAATGATTTAGGCATAGTGATGAATAGATGGGTCACATAATGTTTGATACTAGGGGTTAGAAATGCACCACATGAGCATTACAATAGGCATGACAGAAGGATTTGCAAATGACTACTTGGAAGGAGTCATTTACAAATCCCACCACATGCTTCTGTAATACCCATGAGGTGCATTTTCCAATTCCTCCAAACTAACTTTTTGTGATCCATTTCTTCTTCATTTTGCCTAAATGCATTGGAATTTGGAAGTCTCTCGTCCATAAACAAACCCTAAAGGCGGGATTTTAGCATATTTAAGTAGAAAGACATGCTATATGTTTACACAGCAAATTAATCCTCAAATGAAAACAAACAAAATCAAAGTGATAACCATGCATCCACCAAAACAATGTATTCCATTTATTAAAAAAGGAAAATTGGATATTTATGTATATTTACATAAACTTATGATGACAGACCTCTTTGAAGAGAACGATATTGGGATGCTTCAGTGCTCTGTGGTTCATAATTTCCCTCTGCACATGTTCACCTATCTTCATCACCAAGCCAATGAAATGGATTAAAACTCAAAACCCAGTAGCCAGAAAAATTAAAAAAAAATCGATATATCAGAAGAAAAAATAATGATTTAAAAGAATAAGGACAGACCTTGTTGCCTCTCTCAATGAACTTAACAGCATAGAGTTCTCCGGTGATCCTGTCTCTGACCAGCCTGGCCACCCCAAAATTTCCAGACCCAATATCCTTCAAAATCTCATACCTCTCCATGTCATACGCCAATTAATTTTTCGTTTAATTATTTTAATAGGGTTTGGGAGAGAAAACAAGTTGGAAAGATGGTTGGTGGGAGAGGGAGTGTAATCATTAAAAAAGTAGTTTAAGGGAGAAGACAAGGGATTAGAGGCCACACAGTTTATGCCGGCAATCGAGTGGAAATTAAGTAAAGATGTTTTGGACTTTTCAATCAATTATCTTCTGCTCTCTCTCTGCCCCATGCGTGAGAAGGTGCTGGAAACTCTTCCAGTTACTTGCCCCCAACCCAAAGCCCCTCCTCTCTGCATATTTTGGACTGGTTTAATGAACAGTTTTTTATTCAAGATGGTTCTTAAGATTTGCACCAGAGTTTTTTGCCGGAAGTTTAAACAATTTTCAAAACTTCGTAATTCAATTGGTTCTTAACTAAATTTAACTCATAATATATCAAAATGAAGATAGGAAAGTGTAGAACAAGATTATACCTATTTGGAAGCCTAATAGTTTCCATCGATGATTGGAAAATATCTTAAAAAGTGACTGGTCAGAGGAAAAAATGGAAAACTCGCAGGAAACTGGGTAAAATTTAAACATTCATAACTTCTTCAATACTCAACGAAATCGAATGATTCAAAAACAAAAATCATTCTTCTCAACAAGACGAAGAGAATGTTACCTTTCTTGAAGGATAAATTGTCATGGTTTGGCCGTAAAACGGCTCGAAAATGGTTGTCTTGATCGTCAAGTTAGCCACTTTCGAGCCGTTTTCCGGCCAAACCACGGCGATTTAGCCATGAAGAAAGTTACCATTCTCTTCGTCTCGTTGAGAAGTATGATTTTCGTTTTTAAATCACTCGATTTCGTTGAGTATTAAAGAAGTTATGAACGTTTAAAATTTACCCAGTTTCTAGCGAGTTTTTTAGTTTTCCCACATACCAGTCACCTTTCAGGCTATTTTTCGGTCATCTTCAACAACCATTGGGCTTCCAAATAAGTATAATCTTATTCTACACTTTCCTATCTTCATTTTGATATATTATGGGTCGAATTTGGTTAAGAAACGATTGAGTTACGAAGCTTTGAAAATTGCCCAAAGTTCCAGTCAAGAGCTCCGGGACACTTAATAGAGTTTTTAAAGGAAGGGCCAAAATAATGGATGATGGACAATCTCAAGGACCATTTCTATTGATTTTTAATCTCAGAGACCAAAGTGATGTGTTATGCAAATCTCATGAACTATTTTGATTAAAATAGTTCAGGTTGCTCCTTTTGGATAAACCTTGGCAGGTGGCCCCTCTTTTAGATATCCAACATGTGCCATCTCACATGCAAAACTCATATTTTTAGTGTATTTATTTTCACACTTCTTAACTTTTAACATCCTTATTTGTATTTATGATTATTAAATTGAATAAATTAAACAAAAAATATTAGATGAAATTAAACAAGGTATGTGTTTATTATTCATCTATTTTTGTGGGTCAACCTTGAGGAGTGAGGGGCGTGTGACCGCACATGGTCCCTAATTTTTAAGGGCCCTAAATTTTTGTAACCTTTATAAGATACTACATATAGAAAAAATTGTGAACATAATTCACAAGTCGTCTTAACGAAGTTGTCAAGTATTGGTACTTCCATTTAATTGTGCACGGGCCCTATTGGGCATGTGAGGCATAGCCATTATGGGTCTATTTGAGCTACATTATTTTTTTCTTTTAAAAAAAAATATATATATAATTTAATTTCTTTCATTATAAAAGATAACTTTTGCTAATAAATCTATAATTAGGAATATCATAATAAATTAAAATCTTAAAAATATGAAGGTACAATCTTAAAAAAAAAAAACCTTTCCTTATATGATAATTTAATCTAATACATATTATTCATTTATTATTTTGGTCACCGTTTAATGGTCATCTAATTTTCATTTCATCAAGACCATTTAGTCATCCATATATCATCAAAAAGAAAATTATAGTACAAATTTTCTCATACCACTAAAGTGGAGGTCAGCAGGTGATGTTGTAACAACTCGTCCTGAAAATTTACGGAACAAAAGGGCAATGTTGTTATTTCATTTTGGTTTTGGGATATTTGTTTAAAATATTGTTTTTGGGTCTTAATAGGTGTGCCCAAAAAGGGCCTACATTTGGTTTGTGTCCCCTCCCCCAATTGCTCCCTCACCTCTCCCGTGTCTCTCACTCTGAGAAAACTCTCTACCTCTCTTCTTCTCGCTACACTCAACCCTCCCCGAGGGCAGCTTATACACCCGCACAAACACACACCAACTCTCTCTCGAACCTCCCTCACCTCTCTTGTCCCTCTCCCTTTTCTATGTGTGACAACCCCAGATGTTGGAGACCTCAAGCACCTGTACAAATGCATGAGGGAGCTCCGGCGAGTCTCCATCACCCTCGACATGGGTAAGTCTCAAAAAACACTCCAAAACTTTCCATTTTGGTCCCCATATTTCACTTCTAATTGTATGTATGTATTGTGGACGTTGAATACATCGAGAAATCACCTCGGATGAACTAAACCCAATTTCCAGCGAAGGAACCCGAGACTTGCCAGCCGTTTCAGAAACCTTTCGGCCCAAACCCACCAGCCCAACCCGGATGGAATATACCGTCAAGGAATATTCTCTCGAATATTCTTTATGTTGACTTTTTCGAAATTTACCAGGATCCTTCTTAGGGTAATTCGACGTCTTGAATCCGTTTTTTACGTCCGTTTTTCCAAATTCAATCATTTGAGTATAGTTTTGTTAATTGTACCCTTTATGTGCTTAGGTGCAATTATTAGCGGCAATTCCTTCATTCCTATTTTGTATGGCTCTTCGACGACGGAATATCTATGAGTAGACCTCTTCTAAAATGTATGTTTTAATAGTAGAAATGCATACATGAAAAAAATGATTTAATAGTTATGTTTTACGAAACGTTTTATGAGTAAATTAAATTTACGCTTATGATATATCATGCTTTACTGTGAATATTTTGGAATACCATATTTTATCGAACTTATGTTTTTGTAGTATATATGATGGATGACTAGATACTATTTATGAACATGTTTTCTTTAAACTTCTTTATAGTATATATGATAGATGACTATATGTTATGAAGATGATTTTGAGATATATGTACTTATGTTTGGAAAGAGTATATTCAAGGTTTTGTGCGTATCTAGTGGTCACTGTTCAGCTTATGGGCGATGATACTCATATTGACCTACGGGTTGGGTGCTATAGGAGTCTACGGGCGATTGATACTTGTGAATGAAGTGTTCTGAAGGAAGAGTTCTATATGCCTTCGGGCAATACTAATACCCCTAGTTAGCACACTATATACGATATATGTTTTATGAAAGTTTTCATGGCATGCTAGGGTTTCAGAAAACCTACCACATATTATGCTATTAGTTTTCATTCAACTTTGGGGGTTAGTACGTTATTGAATAACTGTTTCAGTATTATATATTTATCAACTTGGTCCACTCATGTTTGTTTTGCGCCCCCTCAGGACTTAGAATTAAGGCGTACAATCCTGGCGTCAAGACACTTCTGCATTGGCATCTTCGAGTACTCTCGGTGTGGGACCCATTCCTTTATTCATTCAATTTTATATTACTTATTTTTAGTGTTCTAGATTAGTTGTATGCTCTGAACACTTTCCTCATTTGCATATTAATTATATTTAAATTTATAAGTCTTATTTATTTTCTTTGGTTCTCATGCATTCTAATATGGTTTCGTCACTTTTCGGGTGTCGGCCAGCACGTGCCTACCCTGATGTTTGGAGAATATCAAGGTCGGGCGTGTCATATGCTCACCCCCCCTTTGATTACTACTAGATTTATTTGGTTTAATTAATTTAAGACTCGAATTTCAAATTTTAACTAATCTCACAGTAATCAACCGGGTGGGGGTTAGAATCATCCTCACTTTAGGGCATGAGAAAAAATGCAATGAAAACTAACAATTCATTATAAGATGGTACAAATGTCATAACCAATGATTTGTTTAACTAGTTCATAATAAAGTGCATGAATGGTTATGATTATGATATTTGTACGGTGATATGATAGGTACATAGAAACACCTTGCTTTTTTATAAAAGTAAGGAGTTTCGAATCCAAAAACATAGGAAATGCAAATAGGTACATAGCCACCACACATGCTTCATTTTTATTTATTTTCTTTTGCATTTATATCAATTTATACAGAAGGAAAAAAAAAGAAATATAAAAGAAAATATAACAACCAAAGTTTAGACCATGTAAGAGATTCCATTTAAGTCTCACACAAGACCTTCAAAATCTCATAACCGACCTTGCATATATGCAAATACTCAAATTTAAAGCTATACTAAAATGGCTTATTTGGAACTATACTTAAATTTAGTGTTTTCTGATTACAAAAATTTCTTATGACCATGTTTCGTAGTGCTTGTAATAGATGCGTTTTTAGAATAATTGCTTTCTAAGAAGCATCTTTAAACGAGCATTTGTATTTTAAGTCTAAAAAATGTATTGGATTTGAGTTTTTGTTAACAATATCTTATGCACATATTTTTATATTTCATTTTAAAAATTGAGTCTTGCATGGGGAGAAAATATTAGAGATAAAAGACACTTTTGAGTTTTGACAGTTTTAATATGTGCATTTAAGATTATTAGACTCACAACTTAAATATCTTTCTTGGATAAATAATATTTTTCTTTGTTGGCATTAGCTCCACCCTTCAGCAGTTTGGATGTTGTTTGTACCATATAATAACGATCTTGAAATCACCGAGTACCGATCAACTAAGAAGCCTCGTGACCCCTTCGAAGGGTCCATGTTGAGGCATGTTGCTGAAGCACACGAGCCAACCTTAAACAGATGAGCTCTCCATTCCTCCAACTTGGAGCGCACTTGCTCAAGGACGCGTGACAACAATACAACAACGTTCCTAGAGTCTCACATCGATCACAAACACGAATGGGAGACTCTCCTCACCTATAAATGGAGACTCCTCTTCCACAATTAAGTTCACTTGGATCAACGGACCCATAATCCAGGCTTAGTCCTTCACGTGTGCTTATACGTACCATTGTATTATGTACACTCTACATTATTAATGAGAACTCCTCTAACCAAGTGGACATACCCCACTTAAGGCAAACCACGTACATTTGTGTCTAATTTCCCCTTATCTCTTTACATATTATCTCTACATAATAACATAAGCACCATCGCGTAGGTCACTTCACCACACTTTATGTTGACTCAAGATCCACTCAATTTTATGTATCAACATATGCAGAAATATTTGATATCAAATTGTAAGTCTAAACTTTCTAGTGCATCAAAGATGCTCTAAATTCTTATACTTGGCCTAAAAGGGGTGGGTTTAAATTTTTCTGTTTTCTCCTCTAATGCACATACTTCAATCTCAATTCAAGACTATTTTTAGTTGTTAATGACAATGCGGATGCTCACTTATTGTTCATGTTCATGCAAATTAAGAAAATTCTTCTTTAGTATTCAGCTTCTACATGTACTTCTATTCGGACACAACGAACTTTTAAACTATTCTAACGTATAAAAAAGAAAATTTCGCAATTTGAGTTTTGTAAGGTGAACACAGTACTTTGATCAACTGCTCACTCACGTATGCAACTATACATATTTCAAAAACTAGATGCACAAACATATAGAAAAGAAGATTAGCAATTTAAGTCCCATAAAGTGAACAAACTACCTTGATCAAGTGTTCACTCACTTATGCAACGACACATACTTCAAAAACTAGATGCACTAACATATAGAAAATAAGATTAGCAATTTAAGTCTTATAAGGTAAACACACTACTTTGATCAACTGTTCACTCACGTATGCAACTATACATATCTCAAAAACTTGATGCACTCCGAAATACAAAGTTAAAAGTCAGGAAGTCAACAACGGTCATCACACGCTTGAATAGGAGGGCCAAGATATGGCGCTCCAGCAACAAACAGATCTTCGGGCATGTCCCTTTCCTCAAGCACTGCATAGCCTGCTGCTCCATAAATTGGACACAGTAACAGATTAGCCATGACTATTTATATGAAATAAAAATTCTGTGATACTCTGGAATATATAATACTTTGATTTTTAATCGTTAGATTTTAATCAAAGACCTAATAATTAAAATATTCATAATACCCGATACTCTTGATCAGTGTAAAAAAATCCCTATATGAAATTTAGAACTGAATAAATCAGTGGTGGTAAATGGTAATTACAAATTACCAGGAAGAGATGGAATAGGGAAGTCGAAGAAGTAAGTAGAAGGCCTGCCATGGTCGTCGGAGTAAGGTGGCGTCAGTACATCCAAGACAGCACAGGGAGTTACTGCTGTAAAAGAATGAATGTTCCCGCCACTTCTTGGAAATAATACACGAGTCTCACAGGGTGAGCTTATAACTCCATCAAAAACCTTGCCTGCCAATCCAACTGCAAGCACCCACAGATTAATCAATTTTAACCACAATTTCCACATTGTTTTTTCAATAAAACCCCAACACAAAATAATGAAATGAAAAATATTGAATTTATGAATATTATTGGCTCTTACATGTTCTGAAGCTAGAAGAAGTTTCCACTTTGATCCAATCGTAAGATTTAACATAAACAGAACCGTAGAGGAGTTTGGTAAAGACTGTCATTCGAGGGTGATCATGAAGGGGAAGCGTAGCACCAGCGGGGAAGCAAAACACGCCTATCTGCTCGTAACGTTCTTCTTACTTGTCAGAATTATATGTTATGTTATAAGATTATCAAAATACATAATATATCAAATTGGCGGACAAGAGTACGTAAATCATTTGCTTACAGAGAAATGGTCACATTCATGAACATGAATGTAAGTGATTTGGGAGATGCCTTGCCCAGAAACCAATCCCTTGCAGCTCCTTGGACTCGAAGATGGAGATCTACCCGAACCAAATTCATCGATTCCGAAATCTATGGCTTCAAACGTGCCTGTATTTGATACAATTTTAAGCTCTAGTTATTCATACAAAAACAAAGTGATCATAACAAGCGAAGAAACATACCAAGGAGATTTTTCAGCCATTGGATTTGTCGGAAAGTTGGGAGTGCTTTCGGATCCGACAAGACGACATTGCAGGCTTCATACAGCATTTGTATTTTGCTTTTCTCCAATATTATGCAGTTCATCGCTGTTCGTATTCATTCGTCGTGGAATGTCTGACACCTTTGATAAATAAAGAGATAAAAAGAGAGGACTTTTTTTTTTTGAGAACTAAAAGAGAGGACTTTTGAGCACAAGTTTGCGTCATTAAACCACGGGCCATATTTAGACTTTTCACTTTTTTCAATGGGCTACGAGAAGCCTTCGGATTAAAGAAATTGTGCACACAACATATGCCCTATGTATACATTTAAATATGGGCTGAGATTTAGGGCAACTTCTCTTCTGGCTTTAGTAAAACTAGGAAATACGTCAAATATGGTATAACTATCAAATTAGGCCAGTTAGGTCGGTTGGCAGTGACACTTAAAGCACGTATATACGACTATATGCACTTTCATACCTAGCTTGAACTTGATGTTCCATGGTTGGAACTTTTTTCTTTTGTTTTTTGAGTAGCTTCCAAAATCGCCACCCCCTAAGTTGTTCATATCCAAAAATCAAAACCCCAAACACAACACACTTTCATATTATTATTATTATTATTGGCTCGTCTTCTCAACAGGAAATGCAAGCATTATATAAGGTTGCATGGGAAGGATTCGAAACTATTGCAGTAAAGGAGGAGAAATTTCAAACTCGCGATGTGTTGGTGGAAACCCAACATCCGATCAACTAAGATATTAGACCACATGTATTGAAAGTCATCCATGAACAATTATGGCATACATTAAAAGTCACTCACCTCTGCATAATCAAACAAATTGATATAATTTTCATTTAATCTGTAAAAATTTTACACTATCGTGATCTTTATACGGCTTTTTTTTTTAAAGTACAATCTTCAATTGGTTTTAGAGTCTCATTCTCTTATACTCCACAACCTAAGAAAATTGCGGTCACTCGATGTTCGATCTTAATTTAATGGTGGAGTAGAAAGTACAACAACAAAAGTTAAATGCATCTGCTATTAAATTAAGATCAAACAGTGAGCAACCACATTTTTCTTTATCCACGGGGTCTAGGAGAACAAGACTATTGGTCTTAAACGTATTTATATCTTCATTCTCCATCATGTTGAGGTCCCGTTTGGTGTTGTTTTTTTTTTTTTTATAACAAAAAACTGCTTTATTTTGAAGATAATTAAGCACAAAAAAGTATTAGGTAAAAATAAAATATCTTGCTTATTTTAAAAGCAATGACTTTTAGTCACCAGCTTTTAAAATAAGCTTGGAGATTACTTTTACAAAAAAGCAAAATTAAAATGTACCCATGCTGAAGTAAAATGTACCCATGTTAAATCAAAGCGTACCGATGGATTTTAGGTTCGTTTATTTTAAATGTACCAATATATATGTTTTAGTAACTTTCTATTTTATTGTTTGTATATACATTTTATATATGTGTATTATGTATTTGCCAATTGTTTAAAGAAAAAACTTTTGCAAGTTGTCTTTTTCTTTTTTCTAAATTGCAAGTTGTCTTTTAGGTACTTTTTATGAGTCAAGATAAAACACCAGTGTTGTAGATGAGTATTGGAAGATTTCAGATTTTCATAAATTTATGAAACTAATGACAATTTTTAAAATTGTAAATGCACTGTAATAATGAAAAGAAAACGGGATAATTTGCCAAAAGGAAGTAATGTAAAATGAAATTAATAATCCCCAAATTTATAGGAGAATGTTTAATCAAAATTTTAAAAGAAATAGATGTTTAGTTTAAGTAATTAAAAACAAGGTACCTATATCAAAACGTCTTTTTAAATTTGAGTGTAAAGATACAACAATGTTGGTTTAAAAAAGGATTTTTATCACAAATGGCCGGTGAAATTGACCCTCACCATCAAGATTGTCTCTGAAATTAAAAATAAATGAATGTAGTCTCTAAAAATACATGTCACAAATCAATGTGGTCATTCCGTCACAATTATGTTAAAAATTTTGTTAAGTGCTGATGTGGCACATAAATGAGCCCCACAAGATTTACGAGTTTGTATTACAAACTGAAATTGACCCACACCATCAAGATGGTCCCTAAAATTGATCCACACCATCAATATAGTCCATGAAATTGAAAAACAATCAATGTAGCCCTTGAAAGTAGGTCTCACAATTCAATATGATCCTTCCGCCACAATTCTGTAAAAAAATTTGTTATGAGCTAATGTGGGTTTAATAATTAATTAAAAAAATTTGTCTAAATACCTTTTTGCACAATGAATTTATTTTTCTTCTTATATAGAGCCTACTCCGAAAAGAGATCCCTTCCATAAATTCTTAAAGATACAAAACTTAAACAAGGCCTAAAAGGGAGTGTGGAAATAGTTTTCAACCAACAATGGATGCACCTCGGTTATAACCTCATTATCTCACGGCAGAACTTGTCGTTCTTTGAATCACCAGACCACTAGGGAAGCGCCGAACAAGTTCTCCAAAATTAAAGTTGTGAGAATGTTGATCGCCTAAATGTTAACGGTAATGTCCTAGTAGTCGTTGTCAATGGGCCAAGGCATCACCAAAGATGATCTCGAAGGGTGTTGAAGTGTGTAAAGATGGGTGTATTGAGATTTTTTTTAGAGAATAAAGAGCGAATGAGGTAGGGAAACGTGGACTGGGATCAGAGGTGATTGTAGGATTGGGTTTATGGGTTGACAATTTTTTTAATTAATTATTAAATTATTAAGCCTATTTGTGATTTTTTTTTAAAATTTAATTAGACTTTTGTGACCCATTTATGTGTCACATCAGTACATAACATAATTTTTGACAGAATTGTGACGGAAGAACTACATTGAATTGAGACACTTACTTGCGGGACAACATTGATCAATTTTCAATTTCAGGGACCATTTTGATGTCACGGGCCAATTTCAAGGACTACTTTGATGTCGTGGGTCTATTTCAAGGACCATTTGTGAGAAAAAATGAACTTATGGGGCCCATTTATGTGTCGCATCAGCACTTAACATAATTTTTAACAAAATTATGATGGAAAGACAATATTAATTTGCGACAACTATTTTCAGGGATTACATTGCCTTATTTTCAAATTTAGGGACCATCTTGATGGTGAGGCTCAATTTCAGAGACCATTTATGATAAAAACTCTTTAAAAAAAAGTGAAAAAAAATATTAGATAAAAAGTTCATAGATCAACTAGTACAAATGTTATCAAGGTATAACAATTTCATTTATCAACCAGTACAAATGTTATCAAGGTTTAACAACCTAAAAGCATTTCGATTAAGTGGTTCTCTCCCATTTGGTGAGAGCCTTTCTCTCTTCCTGCGAGTGTTTCTTACTGGTGTGTGACTGTTTTTTCGTTCATCCTCAATTTCGAAGTCGTCGATCCTAGCTCCGTCTAGGGTCAATGGCAGTCATTCGTTTCTTTTTTCTTTTTTCTTCTTCCCTTTCTTTCTACATCAACTTGTTTTTTCCTCTATTTGATTGGATAGGTCTGATCCATCACCCATGCTTTCCTCTGATTTCACTGTCATTTGGGCCAAATCTCCCCTTCCCTCTACCTCTATGATCAACCCGCTTCATACCCTTCTTCTTACAATCAATCCTTCATCGATCTCATTCGGATCTACACACACAAATCTTCAACACAATTTTTTGCAATCTCCTTAGAAGGTGCGTAAAGCTTCGGCTCTAGTGTTCACACCACCTCTTTCCTTCTCTTTGCCTTCGTTGGCACTGGCACTCACTGGTTGGTTCTTCCTGTGTGTTTCATTCGATTTGTGGTGGAGATTTCAATGGTGCTCTTTGGAGGATGTAAGTGTTTCTTCTTCATCCAGTTCGAGGACCATGTTTGGCCTGATCTCAGGCGTTTGTTAGGGGCGATGGTCTGAGATGATGGATAGGAGGCAAACTGGGGGCAATGGAAATTACAAGCTGTTAAGGTTTGTTTCATTTTTTTTGGTGTTGGGCCTAGAATTGGTTTTGGGTTTTTTGTTTTACTTTGGAGGTCCACTTTTGTGTTGTGTGGATATTGTAACTAGGTATCTTTCTTGTAATTATGTTGTCTTGGTAATGAACTTACAAGGAGGGATAAAATTAAGCATCAATCGGTTTTGGGTTTTTTTTTTTTTTTTAATTGTATTTTTGTAGTACTATCATCAATTGGTTTTAAGAGTCTCGTTCTCTTAGACTGTACAAATGCCATCAAGGTGTAATGCATTTCTCGTACAAGGAGGGATAAAATTAAGCCAAATACAATTCGATGCAACATGATGATTTAGCAAGATAATCATCAGTCTTTCTAAAAATATGAGAGAACTTAATACAATTAAGCCACCAGGCCACCCATAGTAGTTGTATATCAAACTCTTCATCTAAGTGAATCAAGCTTGAAACATCTACTCTACTGATTATTGCTAAAATATTTCAAGGTTGAAGAAATTTTTAATTCTGAAAAAGAAAAGAAAAGGCAACTTAGACCATTTTCAACCCTTGGTTAAAACCTAAAATTTTTAACCTAGAAAATTTAGGATTTAACCCATAAACAGTTTTTCTACTCCAACCCTTTTGGGTTAAATTTTTAGCCTGATATTATTAAGAATGAATTTAGGAACATTTTGACCCAAAAATATTTAGATTTCGATAAATATTGAAAAATCACTACACTGTTACCATGAAACTCGTGGAACACAATAAAAGAATATGAAACACATGAAAGATTTTTTTTTTTTTAAAATTATTTTAGTTGTTAGATTTAAATTTGGACTGTTAGATCTTTTTTCTAACCGTTGGATTTGATCATATTAGATTTTAGCCATTAAATTCAATGAATTTATAAATATAAAACTAAAAAAATACACATATATGGTGGGTCAACCCACTAATTTGAGGGAAATTCTGAGCTAAATTTGCCCAAAAATGAGTTTTGGGTTAAAACTCATATTTGGCCTAAGGTTTGGAGCAAGTTAGGATAGGTTTAAAACCTAAAATTTTAGTTTTACTCCAAGGGTTGGAGTACGTCTTACTAAGATTAAAATTGACTAAAAGGAAAAATTAATACTCTGTTTGGTTAACCTAAAAGAACAATGAAATTTAAATACGGAT